TTCTTCTGCTGTTTTAAGTGTTTACTTCCTGTCTGTCTTCTTCTGCTGTTGCCCTTAGTGTTTACTTCCTGCCTGTCTTCTTCTGTTGTTCCCTTTAGTGTTTACTTCCTGTCTGTCTTCTTCTGTTGTTCCCTTTAGTTATTACTTCCTGTCTGTCTTCTTCTGCTGTTCCCTTTAGTGTTTACTTCCTGGCTGTCTGTCTTCTTCTGCTGTTCCCTTTAGTGTTTACTTCCTGTCTATCTTCTAATAATTCCTCAATGAATACTCGTCCCTCACTGCGTCCTCATGTCATTCCAGTGTTGTGTCATTAGTGTGTGTGTAATCCCAGTGTAATCGCTCCTAATGTGTGTGTATGGAAAAAGTGTCTCACAGGGTGTGTGTGTGTGTTTCAGCCCGAGATGCAGACGAGCGGGAGAAGTGGATCCACGCCTTAGAGGGAACCATCCTCCGCCACACCCTCCAGCTCAGAGTACGTAATGTTCTGTTCTTTCTTCAAAAAGTCCATTTGTTTTTTTAAGGTTATTTTTACAAAAAGTGGGGCTTTTTTTTTTGTCATCGTGTTTGCCTGTTCATATCCATTTGTGTCAGCATCCATATAGTTTTAGTGGTCAGTAAATTGGGAAATGGTAAAGTGAAGATTAAATGTTTTAAACACATTTAAATTAGTTCATGAAAGGATTATTATTGAACCTGAGATTGCACGCATTTGCATCATCAATAATTAATCACATGCTTGTAGTTTGACGTTTCTGAGAATGGTATGGACCTTAAAGGTGCTTGAATATGCAAGAATCATTATTTATATATTATTATTATTTTAAATGTATTTATTTGAAACTATTGTTATTATTAATTAATATTTTAAAAATATATTTTTTATTTGAAATATGTATTATTTTAATATTTTCTTATTATATTTTAATATATGTTTTTATTTGAATTATTTATTAATATTTTTATTTATTCTTGACTATCTACTATCTGCATGCATCTCCTGCAGGTGCGTCATTATTTTATTGTTTTACACGTGCCTCGATGCATGAGTGAATTAAGTGCAAGAAAATCTGCACATTGTATTTTAAACATTCTCAGCCATGAAACCATAATTAACTCTGATCCGCGTCTGCATATATGTTGTTTTTAGTCCTCCTACATTTAGCTTGACAAGTCATTGAACAGTCCTTGAATCGGATGCTTTAGACACCGTGTGATGACCTGAAAGGCACTTTGGATCTCAGGTGTTTTTATCAGAGTCAGTATATGGATGGAAATGCAGGTGACATTCATGTCATCAGAAATGGAGGCTGTTGTGTCAATACATTTCTCTGGACCTGTATCAGGACCAGGTTCAGGTTTAATGAGCAGTTTGATTTACTGCTGCTGGTCTGTTTGGTATTATTGTTCTGTCAGTTTATTGTCACTTCCATTCTGCTCTTTAGGCGCTGATAACACTTTGTACTTTTACTCAAGTACTACTTTAAATAAAGGACTTGCAACCAGGTATTTGTATGCAGTATTTCTTTAGATAAAGCACCAGGTACTTCTTCCACCTCTGTGTGAGATTCACTAAGAAGTCCCCATGTCTGCATTGCTCAATATTTTAGCTTATTTTATTATATAGTATTTTATAATATTAGTACAATATAATCAGAATCAGAAATCCTTTTTTTGTCCCGCAACGGGGGAATGCACGCGACTAAAACATCAGATAGAGTGAGGGTTGTGGGAGTGAGTTCCAGAGGGAGGGGGCAGCGACGGAGAAGGCTCTGTCCCCCCAGGTCCGGTGCTTGATGCGGGTGGGGATGGATAACAGGTTGGCTTCTAATGAGCGGAGGCAGCGGGAAGGG